ACAGCCCCAATACTGCCCCCATACCGCTCTCTCCATGCAGCAGTGGCAGGAGGCGGAAGGGCAGGGCTGCCCAGGTGGCGGCAAAGAAGCCGCGCCAGTAATCACGCACTGCAAAGTGTGAGCCGGTCGCTTCCACTGAGAAGAGCACTCCTGGGGAGTAAGGGGAGGGGTCAGCCAGGAACCGGCTCCTCCACAAGCCCTCTGCTTTGTTCCCCAGGCTCCAGCCTCAAATGGCCCATGCACCCTCTGACTCCCATCTCCTCCCAGGCACATCCAACAAGAACAGCTTGCCCCCTGGGGTCACCAGGAAACCAGCCCCCACCCTGGGCTGTACCCCAACTGTCTCCCACCACCTCCACAGCCTCCCCAAGTGCTTTGGGATCACTCACCCCCCACAGGGGCCACGAAGCAGCAAGCCACCCCCACGGCCGCCCCGGCCACCAACATCTCGTACTTGCGGGCAGGGTTCTGGGGGGCAGAGATGGGGGATCAGGCATGACAGTGGGAGCTGGGGAAAAAGAGGAGCCCAGAACGCCAGAGTGGGGGACACAGAGGTGGTTCGGAGGTGGGGCTGAGGGAAGATGAAGTGTGAGGGAGGGGCTGGGGCAGAGTTGAGGGCTGAGGGCAATTTGGGATGCAGGGAAAAGGCTGTGGGGCCGAGAAGTTTGGGGTGAGAGAGAGGGGCAAGGGTAGAGAACCAGAATCCCCCTCAGACTCACCTCGGTGGAGCCAGCAACCCGCACCATGACCCGGCCCAGCTGAGTGGCCAGGATCGTGGCCATGTGAACGAAGGGGCCCTGTGGAAAGACCTGGAGTCAGCATGGCCCAGGCAGCCCCCTGACCCCTCCACCCCTCTGTGCCCCCAATCCTCCCCAATTCCTCCTCATTCCAACCCAACCCCTCTGTGCCCCCAGTTCTGCCACAGCACGCCCTGACCCCCCACCCTTCCCCACCTCCAATTCCTCCTCATTCTGCCCTACCCCCTGGATCCACTTCTGTGCCCCTCAATTCCACCCCAGTGCTCCCACCCCTCTGTGCCCCCCAATTCTGCCTCATTATGCCCCCACCCCTCTGTGTCACCCAATACCTCTGGCTGCCCCCCACACTCACCACTTTGCCCAGGAAGATGGTGCTCCCAGCAGCCAAGGTGCAGATCACCCCAACCAGCTTGGCCAGCCCCGTGCGCAGGGTGAAGAACTCGCTCAGCACAACTCCCCGCAGTGTCACCTTCAACTCAGGGATCCCAGAGCCTGCAGGGTAAGTGTTAGAGCCCCTGCCCAGGGGAGAGGAGATCCCGCACTCACAGACCTCCATGGCTCTGAAGATCTCACATTTACAGCCCCTGGCCCTGGGGGGACTCTATGTTTACAACTCCCCATGGCCTGGGGGCGGAGACTCCCTGTTCACAGTCCCCCACGCTGTGGGGATCCCCTGTTCACAGTCCCCAAAGGCACTGGTGACCCTGTGTTCACAGGCTCCCATGACCCTGGGGGGGGGGTCCTGTGTTCTCAGCTCCCCATGGCCTGGGGGAGGGGGATGCCACATTCACAGCCCCCCATGGTCCCAGGGAGAGAGACCCCGGGTTCACAGACCCCCATAACCCCAGGGTTCAGCGATCCCCCTGCCATCTTCCCAGGGCAGGGGAACTTGAGACCTACCTGCAGCCTGTGGGGAGATGTATTTGGCAACCCCAGCAGACACCATCATGAGGCCCATGTGGTAGAGGACCCAGGAGAAATACTGCAGGGCGCGGTACCCCTCCAGTGCATCATACACCCACAGGTTGGCTGCAGGTGAGAAGGGAGGTCAGCGCAGGGCCCAGCCACTCCCCCATTTCCCAATGCCCCATGGGTGGCTCTACAGAGGCCAGGGATCTGGGGGTAGCCTGAGGGGGTTCCCAGGGGACCCTAAAGGTCCCTGAGGTTCACAGGGGACCCTAAAACCCATCTCCATTATACTGTGGCTCCTGGCCCTTCCCAGTGACTCCCATGGCTCTGGGGTCCTGTAGGATGGTGAGGCACCTCTCTGGAACTTGGAGATAATGACATCGAGGCCGAAGCTGATAGTTGCCATGGAGATGCCCAGGAGGAAGAGGAAGATCCAATCCTCACCCAGCTTCAGGATGTGTGAGCGGATGGACAGACCCAGTGCTGCAAGAGACGGACAGGAAAGGTGCCCCTCACTCCTGAACTGCAGCCCCTGCCTAACCCTGCCAGAGCCCCTCACTCCCGACCCACAACCTCGTTTCTGCAGAAAGATTTTCAGGGCTTAGGGAGTTTGCTGCAGAATCCCTTTCCTCTCCCCATTCCCTTCCTCCCCCATCCAGAGCAGTCTAAGAGGGGATCCAGTTTGTCCAGGTCTGGAAAATCCTTAAGGCAGCTGCTGTCCTTGACCGAGGGCTGATGCGTGTTTGTATCACACTCCCCGTGACATGAGACCAGGTCTGGGAAACCCAAACCCCAACCGGTCCCAGCCTGAATCCCCACAAAAGCTGGACACCCAACCCTGTTTATACTCCAAATACAGATTGTAACAATGTGATTCCCTCCTAGCCTGCAGCTCAGGCTCCCTCCCAGCCCTGCCAGTGCCCCTCATTCCTAATCCATAGCCCCTGTCGGCCCAACCCTAGGCTCCCCCAGCTCTGCCAGTGCCCCTCACCCTGACCTGCAGCCCCTGCCAGTCAAGCCCTGGGCTCCTGGGGCCTCCTGAAATGCATGAGTCACAACTCCTGCTGTTGTGCCCAGCCGGTGCCCCTCACTCCCGTCCTGCAGCCCTTGCCTGCCCAGCCCTGGGCTCTCCAGATCCAGCTCTGCCCTCACTCCTGATCCGCAGGCCCTGCCAGCCCAGCCCTGGGCTTCTCCCACGCTGCTGGTGCCCCTCGCTCTTGACCTGCAATCCCTGCACCCCCAGCTCCTTGCCAGCCTAGTCCTGGGCTCCTCCCAGCTCTGCCAGTACCTTTCACTCCTGCCCTGCAGCCCCTGCCAGTCTTGCCCTGAGCTCCCCAAGCCCATCACTCCCAACCTGCAGCCCCTGCCAGTCCAGCCCTGGGCTCCCCCAGCCCTGCTGATGCCCCTCACTCCCAACTTGCAGCCCCCTTACGTCTCAGAGCCTGTCCCACTCTTTGCACAGCTTTGCACCCCAGCAGTTGCCGGTCCCTGCCAAAGAGCTGCTGGTACGGCTCCCCGAGCAGCTCCCTGTCCAGGTGCTGCCCTTGGGGTCCAGGCCCCATAGCCATCTCCTTGGATTCCTTCTTCCTGGAGTTGCACAGCCCCATGCCCCTGCTTGACTCCACTGGCTGGCACCCAGCCCTCTGCCCAGGGTTTATAGCCCCAGATCCTGGCCCCACCCTGTGACAGCGGAACCAGCTCACCAAAGCCAGGGCCACCGGTCTGGGCTGGGTGAAGGCAGGTTGGAGGGGGGTGTAGACAGAGTGAGAAAGAGAGGGAGTGATTAGGTGGGTGGGTTGAGACAGACTGATAGTCAGATGGATAGTGGGGGTGTGTGGGGACGGATAGATTAGATAAGTTAGGGGATTGTGTATGGGGGTGGATGGATGGATGGATGAATAAAGGGGCTTTTATACCCACAGATGGATGGAGGTTGGGATGGGGGTGGCCAGTTGGGCTGTATTTCAGAACATGCAAACAACCATGCAGCTAATAACTGGGCTCTGGCCCAGTAGTTTAAATCCACATCCAGTAGTTGGTCATTATCGTGCTCAGGGTTCCACATTGCTTTTGCTGGAACAGGGGACCCCTCTGCAGTGTCACTGAGCATGTGCATCCAAGGGTGAGGTGAGAGCATTTCCTGCATCAACTTTTCTTAGCTCTGGACAGATAGACAGAAACAGATTCCAGCCAAAGCCACTGGCTCCAATCTGGCTCCAGGGCTAGGCAGGGGCTGGCTCTGCTCCAAGGAAAAGGTGGTGGTGGGGTCAGAATCGTCCAGTTGTCTGGTGCCTGTAGGAGACACTCTGACTGGGGCACTAGGTACTGGAGGGGGAGTCAAGACTACTGGGTTCTCTCCCCAGCTCTGGGAGAAGAGTGGGAGCTGATGGGTTGGAGCAGGGGAGGGGGTGATGGGAGCCAGGACTCCTGGGTACAGCTCTGGGTTATGGATTAACATGGAGGGAGAGCAAGCAAAAGACCAGGCTGGGTCCAAGGTGACCTTTGGCTCCTGAGAGCAATGAAAGGCATCCTCCACAGGTGAAAAATAAACTGGGCATGAAACCTTCAGGTGGTTCAGGTCCCTCCTCCCCCTCTGATCAGCCCCCACATAAGGTGGAAAGAATGTCAAGGCCCCCTCCCCAGCCCTGGAATTCAGAGGGGGGAGGGGGAGAAATGGACTTATGCTGCCCGGGACTGGGGGTTGAATAGTTCAGGGAGGGACCTGTAGGGCAGGGACTTCTTTCCTTCCGGACCTTTTCCCCCGGGCCCCCTATTTTCACCTCCCCCCACATCTCCTCAGTCTGCTGGGTCCCAGGCTCCTGTAACTCTCCAGGACCACAGCTCTTCGGAGGGCCTTCTAGCTTCTGGGGTCTCATCTCTCTTTTGTCCCCTCTTTCCCCAACTCCCCCACATTCTCCCCTTCGCCACCTCCTTCCTCCTCCCCTCCTCAACATCTTTCCTAACTCCCATGTCCTTAATTATCACTAGGCGCTCCCGGGAAGAGAGCGACGCGCGCGTGGGCTATGAACGTTCCACGCGTATTCCAATCAAGGGGGAAGGGCAGCATGAACATTCCACGCGCGCTTGGAGAGGGGGGTTTCTGTGTGAAGGTTCTACGCGCGCTCCGGTAGGGGTGGTATGAACGTTCCACGCGCACTCCCGTCAGAGAGAGGGGGGAAATATGAAAGTTCCACGCGCGCACGGGATGGTGGTGGCTTTGCGAACGTCCTACGCGAGCTCCGGTAGACATGTGAACTTTCCTTGCGCGCCCCCGCCGCGGAGAAGGGGGGGGGAGGGGAGAGGGTGGAGTCGGAAGTGAAAACCGGAAAGGGAAGCGGAGGTTCGGCCTGCTTTGGAGACTCGGGGAGGTGAGTGAGGGGGCAGCGGCGGGGGATCAAGTTGGGGATGGTGGTGGCTTTGCGAACGTCCTACGCGAGCTCCGGTAGACATGTGAACTTTCCTTGCGCGCCCCCGCCGCGGAGAAGGGGGGGGGAGGGGAGAGGGTGGAGTCGGAAGTGAAAACCGGAAAGGGAAGCGGAGGTTCGGCCTGCTTTGGAGACTCGGGGAGGTGAGTGAGGGGGCAGCGGCGGGGGATCAAGTTGTGGTGTCATTCACGGCTCTCTGGAGTGTGGGGGTGGGGTAGAGAGGGTGGTCTTGTGAGACTGGAAACAAAGCAGAGGAGTATGGGGGCAGAGGGATGTGTGTGGGGGGAGGGTGATTCTCAGTGGGGCAGGTGGATATGTGGACTGGGGGAGCTGACAATGTCTGCAAGGGGCTGGGCAATGTCTGGACTGGGGAAAGTTGCTCACAGATTATGGGTTGGGGCACAGGCAGCTGATTCAGGGCATAGGGAAAGGGGGCCACAATGCAGGCAGCACTAGACTCCCCCCTCTCCCTCCAGAGCTATGTCGGAGCCAGCACCCCCAGTGGCAGAGCTGACCCTGCGGCGCCGTTTGCCCCCCCGGCTGCCTCGCCGCCGGGGTGACGTCTATGTCAACATGAAGACAGATTTCAAGGCCCAACTGAGCCGGTGCCAGAAGCTGCTGGGGCCTGGCGGGGGCTGCACAGAAATTTGCATCCACGGGCTGGGCCTGGCCATCAACCGGGCCATCAACATCGCCTTGCAGTTGCAGGCAGGTGGTGCTGGAGCCCTGCGCCTGGCTGCCAACACCTCCACCGTGGAGCTGGCTGATGTGCTGGAGGCCCAGAGTGATGAGGACGGGCACCCACCATTGGCCCGGGCCCGCAACAACTCTGCCATCCACATTCGAGTGTGCCGGGTTTCCCCACCACCATGAGAGACAGTGCCCCAGCACGGAGCCAGCCCTGGAGACCCCTGCTTGCCGCAGTGCCTCAGCACAAAGATGGAGCCAGCTTTGGAGACCCCTGTCTGCTGCGGCACCTTAGCACGGAGCTGGCCCCAGAGACTCCTGCCTGGCCACCCCCAGAGACCACTGCCATCTCATCCCCAGGACAGAGCCCTGGCACAGAGCCTGCTCTGGAGACCCCTGCTGCAGCATCCCCAGAACAGAGCACTAGCACAGAGCTGGCATGTAGACCTTGGCTGCAGCACCTTCAGGAGACAGTCCTGGCACAGACCATTGTCACAGTGCCCTAGGACAGAAGAATTCCAGCTTGCAGATGCCCCCAAAGCCTGCATGGCATGGAGCTGCCCCCAGGCAAACTTGTCTAGCTCCCTTTATAGGAGATGGTTTTGACTGCAGGGGTGGGTAGACGGGATGGTCTTGACCTTTAATCTCTTCTGGACCACCCTCCCTCCCATCCACTGTCCCCCTTCCCAAGAAACCCAGGTGGAACATCTCCCCAAAGTGGAACTGGATGCCGGAGACTGAGGATATGTATCTGGGGAGGAAGGAAGCAGATCCGGGGGGAGGCAGGATTCTGACTTTGGGGTGATGGAGGGGGCTGGGGAAAGGTCCCTCCTCTTAGCGGGGATCTGCCTCATGCCCTAAATCTGTGAGATTCAACAATAAAAACTAACTGGGGCTGTGTGATGTCACTTATGGGCCAAGGGCTTGTGAGGGGGTGGGGAATGGGGCCCTGGTCCTTTCCCCTCTAGGGGATGTCAGCTCCCTTCTGGCCCCAGTGAAAGGACTGGCTGCCTCAGGGGGGTAGGGTGGGATATGGGGCCTGTTGTACTGGTAGTGGGATGCTGCCAGGGTCTGAGAGATTCGAGGATTCCTGCAGCGGATGTGGCCATATTAGGTACTCCCAGGGCCAGGCCTTTCCTAGGTTTGGTTCCTGCCAAGAACAACCTGGCTGTATCATCCCTTCGGAAACCAGCCTCTGCTCCCTCGTGTGCTAAATCCTGATCCCCCGCGACAGGGCATGAAGCTGGGGTCCTGCCAACAGCTCAGTGGAACCAGACACCCTGTACCAGAGGTGGCTGCCTCTTAGTGCTGGGTGAGGGCTCCCTGGCTACATCTAGACTGGCATGATTTTCCGGAAATGCTTTTAATGGAAAAGTTTTCCGTTAAAAGCATTTTCGGAACAGAGCGTCTAGATTGGCACAGACGCTTTTCCACAAAAGCACTTTGGCCACGGACACTTTTCCGCAAAATCTAGACGCGCTTTTGCGCAAAAAAGCCCCGCTCGCCATTTTCGTGATCGGGGCTTTTTTGCAGAAAACAAGTCTCAGCTGTCTACACTGGCCCTTTTGCGCAAAAGGGACTTTTCCCCGAACGGGAGCAGCATAGTATTTCCGCAAGAAGCACTGATTTCTTCCGCAAGAAGCACCCAAGATGTGGCCTCATCTCAGTGCCAGGCAAGGGATCCTTAATCAACCTCCCTGGTTGGGCCAATGGTATGAAAATTCCAGGAGTGACATGATCTAGGTAGTGATGGATAGAACCCAGCAGTCCTGGCTCCCACACACTCCCCTCCTGGAGCTGGGGAAAGAACTTAGGTATCCTGGCTTCCAGACCCCTGCTCTGACCTACCAGCTCCCACTCCGTCCCCAGAGCAGGGAGAGAATCCAGGCATCTTGATTAGGGATGTTAAATACAGGGGGGTAGGGTGGGATATGGGTGCTGAATAGTTGAGTAACTTCATGAATTCTTATTGGTTAGTCGACTATTCTATAGTCCCCGGGGATGGGTCTAGCAGTCTGCACTCCAGCTTCACTGCCAAGGAGCCCCCGCCACCCTGCACTGCTGCCTCTGTGGGGTGCTAGGCAGGAGCTGGTCTGTGAGGGGATCCAGATTAAAAACCAACTCCCCCCCTCATAGCCCAGCCCTCCCCTTCCTCGCCCCCGCACTGCTGCCTCTGATAAAGAAGCAGCAGCACCTGTCTGGGGGAGAGGGGAGCATTCTGAGTTCCCGGACCTGGCACAAGCTGGAACTGAGCTGGGCTGCCTGCCCGCCCAGCTCCTAATACACTTTAAATGCAGAGCTGTAGCAGGGATAGGTCCCAGACCTGACACAAGCCATGACTGAGCTGGGCTGCTGGCCAGCCTGCTAAATGTCCTGGCAAGGTGGGGGAGGGAAATGTGTGTAGTCTATAGCATTAACCTATAAGCTTTTGCTTATCGGTTAATCAGTTAATGGGCTACACTATTACATCCCTAGTCCTGATTCCCAGCCCTGACCACACCCATTGCTGGCTGCACATGCTGGTCCCAGCCAGCCCTGACCAGGTTCAGTCCCTCTCCCTGGGCCAGAGCAGTGCCCCACTGATGGCTGGCTTGGGGGTTGGGAGGTTTTGGCTTAAGTAGATTATAGGCCTTAGTCCAGGGATCTAGCCAGGCCAGGCACCTGTCAGAGCTGGGTTCAAGAACCAAGTATGGAGCTAGGGGCACTGTGCCAAGGGGGGCTGGGCAGGGGGTGCAGAGGGCAGGCATTTGGGTAGGAGACAGAGGGGACCTGGGTGGGGGGCTCAGCAGGGCCTGTGCTTGCCCCAGCTGCCCTTTGCCCCGCTGGCCCCCCGGTTGATGAGTGACTGGGCCTGGCGCCGGTAGACTGGCTCTGTTTGCCGAAGGCTCCGGGATCAATGGCTCTGGCAGCACCCACGGCTTTGCTCCCTGCAGCCCAGCACGTATCAGCTGCTGTTATCCTTGGCCCAGGCCCAGCACAGAATAGTTGCCACCTGCTGGGGGGGCCTGCTCTAGCCCCTGGGGCACCTCCCCCCTCCTCCCGTAACATGGTACCCCTCTCCAGGTGTGAGATGCCTTTGGCCAGAGCTCAGCCCAGGCAGGACTCCGGGGTTCTCTCCCCAGTGCTGGGCATGAGGGATGTTGAGTCAGATTAAGGGGCTGGAACCAGGACTCCCGGGTTGTCTTCCTGCTGCAAGCCCAGGGTACAGTGGTTATGATACCAGCCCAAACCGTGATTATTGGATCTGTGCCCTCAACCCTTTTGAATGTCAGGGTGGACCCCATATGGGGCTTGGGGCATTGGACTGTGTGTGTGTGGGGGGGGGGGTCTGTTGGGCACATTCTCCCCATCTGTGCCCATTCTGCTTCTAAATATCCCCTTCTGCTCCTGTCCTGTCAGGAATACCTCATCCTGTCCTAAGCTGTTATGCATTGCTCTGCCCATTATCCAGCTGTCCCACCCCAGAGGTGGCTGCATCTCAGCGCCGGGCGAGGGCTCACGCGCCTCGTTGGGGTGACAGACATCTGGAGCCACTGGACAGCGTCAGAGTCATAGACAATCAAGTCCCCATTGTTAGCGGCTTCCTCCCACATGGAGATGATGGAAAATGAAGCGGCCGGTTCCTGTGGCTTCTCCAGGCAGCCCGACGCCACCACGGGCTCTGCAGCCCAAATTGCTGGTCTGAGACACTCCCCTGGGCAGGAAGCGTCGCCAATGGGACCCCCAGCCCCGGCCTACGTGTTGGCTTCCAGGCAAAGAGTGATAGGGGTCACCTGAAACCAGAGGGGTCTCTGACAACTGAATAGAGTGTGTGCTCGGGAACCCAGGCATCCTGGCCCCCAGCCCGAATGGCAGGAGCCCAGTGATTTTAACATCTATATTCTTCCCCCCCCTCCCCCCGCAGCCCTGCCAGTGCCTCTCACTCTAGACCCACAGCCCCTGCCAGCCCTTCAGGTGCCCCAGACATCTATCCCACTGCCGCTGCCCCTGCCAGACCAGCCCTGGGCACTCCCCACCCCCAGTCCTGCTGGTGCCCCTCACTCCTGACCTGCAGCCCCTGCAAACCTGGCCCAGAATGAAGGGCCCAGAAGCCAGACATGTATTTGAACCAGAGGATTTTCGGCAGCTCTTCAGGGTTGTGTTTTCCCATGGCCCCAGAGCTGGGAAAAAGCCATCTGCCGCTGCCCCTGCCAGACCAGCCCTGGGCACTCCCCACCCCCAGTCCTGCTGGTGCCCCTCACTCCTGACCTGCAGCCCCTGCAAACCTGGCCCAGAATGAAGGGCCCAGAAGCCAGACATGTATTTGAACCAGAGGATTTTCGGCAGCTCTTCAGGGTTGTGTTTTCCCATGGCCCCAGAGCTGGGAAAAAGCCATTGCGCCAGGGGCATCAGCCAGATATTACATTGAGAGCTCACCCTGCCACACCCTGTATGGCACACAGACCACTGTTTT